TCAGATCAATTTTTCGACTTCTCCACTGTATGTCAATGGTAGAAAATGAAAAGGACCCTCTTTTGGACGAACGTCACTCTTAACCCGCGCACCGACGGGGGTCTGCGCCAACTTCGCACCGACGGGGGGGGCGGATGACCGCCCCCCCCCCCTGAGATCTCGAGAACGAAGCAAGATAGCGACAAGCGGTAAACGGCATCGGATAGGCACGGCCAAGATCTACAATTTTTACTAAGGTCATTTTCAGGTCAGGTCAAAGATGACGTCACAGGGGTCGAAAAAGTCAAAATGGCGGCGCTAGATATGGAGAGTTTTTCTCGAATAACTTTCGAATTAGTCAAGATAGGAACAAACTAAGGGCATCATCGTGATCCTCTCGTCAATCCGCATCGAATGATATATATGTTGACCTCGAAAGGTCAAGGTCAAAGGTTGACCTCAGGTCACGTGACCTCGAGGTCATCATGTATATCATTCGATGCGTCTTGACGAGCTGAACACAATGAGACCATCCACGCGTCTGTATCTTGTTCCTGTACGGAGTTATTGGCCAAAAACCTTTGGTGACCTTTAATGACGTCACATGACCTCACAGCTGCCCAACAGCAAAACAGACCTCAAGGTAGTGAAGGTTGATCGTATATGAAGTCATGTATGGTATATGGGGCCATTCCGACCCGTTTTAGTGGTAAAAACAGGGAGTTGATTTTTCCCCCATTGACTTATAATGGGGAGGTCGAGAAATTGACCTGACCTTAGGTCACCGATATCAAAATTCCGAGATATACAAATTGTAGCTACTAATGACCTTATAATATCCTGCGACTTTCAAAGGCCTCCGACATCTACTGTAGCTCTGGCACGGTGACAAAGTTGCAAAAAAGTGACTTGAGGTTGGGTCATTCAAAGTGACCTGGTGACCTGACCTTAAAAGGTAGGAGGTTCAAACTTGCACACCATGTGTAAAATTGATGAGGTTATAGTCATACCAAATTTCGCGGCGCTACGCGCCGCGGTTTTCCCGCTATTCGCGAAAAACCTCAGGGGGGGGGGGCGGATATCCGCCCCCCCCGTCGGTGCGCGGGTTAACACTCTTAAACACAGAATTACATGTACATAACATATGACACACAGAACCAGAAAATGACACCCGTGACCCCGTCTTATGTCCCTGAGGTCATCTCAAGGCACGAAAGGTCTCCAACATTTTTTCGCTAATAAATTTTTATAGAGGCCTGAGAGAGCGATGGAAATACCTTGGCTTAGATGTGTTCAGCTCGACGATACGGATCGACTTATATGCAACACGACCTTTTCCGGCGAGGTTATGACTTTCAAGTTGACCCGACGCGTCTCGACGAGAGGAACGCGATGTCGGCAAAAGTGAGATCGTGCGATTTTTGTGTCAAACGTTATTGCAGGAAAACCGTTTCCGCAAAAAACTATTTTGACAGTTTCTACCCTCTGGATGCTAAATCGTTGACCTTAGGTCAAATCTGATGACAGTCTATAGAAAGAGCGTTAAAAGAGCTATTGAATGTTTATTTCCACGGCGCTATAGCTCTATCCGTTCCTGAGCTATGCGCTGCTTTGTAAAAAAGAATTGTCGAAATAGGCGACATCCGACCTTTGATGATCTCTGATGACATGACCTTTGAACTACCATAAAAATGACAAAATTAATGTCGTCATTATTTTTGACGCTCTTTCGAACGCCGTTTACCCTGTGTCGTTACGTGGCCCAGGAGCCGAGTTAGAAGGGGATGCTCAAACACCTCCCCCCCCCCCCCCCCCAGTAGGGCGTGGAAATCATGAAGCTCAAGCTGGGTAATGAACTTGGAGCAATCAAACAACTTAAAAAACGGATTATGTGTATGTTTTAATAATATTTTTCGGTTCGTTTCATGCAACGCCATCGAATTTTGTGGCAATGCAACGTTCTCAACGCTACTGTAAGTCGCTGTGGCCATCCCTCCGCTGTCTAAAGGGCAATTAGCGGAACAGCGATTGCAATGCCTCGAAATAGTCCTTCAGGATTCGTATCTCTTTGGAACCTAATCAATTTCGGGTTTAAGTAGGAGTTGAGTTTAGAAATGTTTTATCGCATTATTAGGTCTGTGTCGAGCAGATGCGACCATTGCGGAGTGACAGATATCCCCACTTCCCGGTGTTCGTGCACGGCGGCAGAGCCAGGTGTGTGGACACTGCCGTCTCTCGGGGGAAAGAGCGGCTGCCAGGCGGCGCGGGGTTCCCCGAGAAGATAACAGCGCCGCCCGAGGGACAGGAACTGCACGCCGGAGGCCACTTTCGAGGCCGACACCTGTGTACCGAACTGATGGCTCTCAGGCGTGTGTTGCTGAAAATGATACGACGCAGAATTGGCATGGGAGGACACAAGTGTCTGCCTCCGCTGGCTGTGGCTATAACATTTGTTGAAGGGACCGATATCCACACTCAAGGTCCTTAATTATGTTTGAGCCGACAAAAGCTTCTGCGTCAGACGCTTGTGGGTAAACCGTCGTTGCCATCCTTTCTAAGCGGCTCGGCCAACTGAGGGTAACGCGGGGCTGGGGCCACCGCCGACCTCCCGGGACGCTGCCGTCGACTCACCGTCCCAAACTCCGGACTATGTGCCGGTCGGCATCATTTGTCTCCTGCCGTAACGTCGCCGGCAATCGCTCGAGCGGTGTCGCCGCCGTCGTCAGGGGCGCCTCTGTGCCGCTATCTCCGGGCGCCGGGGCGTCCTGTGGGGCGCCGCCGAGACGCCCACCTGGGCACCCGATCGACCGGCGCCCGCCGCCAGATTGGCTTGCGGACCGTGCGTAAATTGCCGGTAGCGGCGCGTTACGACTGTGTTGTGGCGCGGGCCGGCGCGGGTGGTCGCCGGCCGATCAGCTAATCACTGCGCGCCGCCTCCGCCCGTCGCCCGGTCCCCGGACTGGCGTCAACATGCGTCACTGGTGGTGTGGCGGGCTTCTGCCGGCCGGGAGGACACGGTAGAGGTGACGGACTGCGGTGAGGGAGAACCAGCCGCCGGAGAGTCGGGCAGTCGGGAGTGGAGTTGTCTAGTGTCGGATCGGCAGCGGCCCGGAGTGGAGAGCTGGTCTGACTGACCGCTGAGTGGTCACGCTCGGTACGAACGGGCGCCTGATGAGTCACCTGGACACACTTTGGGGTCGTTCGCTGCCCGAGAATAGCTGCCTTCGTGTGACGGCCTCTGTCGATTAAATTACTGGAGTCGTTGAAATGCGCTCCGAAAAGCCGTCTTTGTCGCAGCGATGGCGCTGCCATGAAAGTCATGAACTTCCTGGACGTTAACGATTCTGACTGGGCCATTAAGCAGGGCTCAGTTTGAGTCGCGGCTGGCGACAGCGGCTTGGTCCGAATGTGTCCGGCCACGGGCGCCGCCGCGGGCGCCGATGGGCGTCCGGTGGGCGCCACCCGGCTGCAAAGACGGGCTGTCATTGCCGTTAGCCAGCGCAGACGTTTGTTTCGCGGCCGTCCCGCAAGACTGCACTGTTTGATTGGAGGTGCGCTAGCTTCTTACAGCGTTTATAGCTGGACGAAGTGGTGTGAAGTGCCGTTGATACTTTTGCCTCAGGTGATCAGACGCGTCGGGTTAGTACCCTTTGGGCGTTAGCAAAATAAACTATGCTTTGATTGTTATACACGCTTGCTTTATGGGACTCATTGCCCTTCATTTTATTTTATAAGTCTTATACCCGGGTTGAAGCTCAGGCACCACACTAAGTAAAGTGGATTGTGCCCGTCCCGACTGACCCCTAGTATCCGATTGCGAAATTCTTGGTAATCGCTAGGCTTTGCAGGCCAGAGTTGGGACTGTCCACGGGGCCGGGGCACGGCGGCCCCGCTCACTGACCCACCAGCTACGGCAGACCCCGCCTCTTGTGTATCGAGCGCCTATAGGTCTCACGAGGCAGGATACTCGTCACTGGGAGCCTAATGCTCTATTCACTGAGCTATGGGACGAGTTGATGTTGATATATTATCCCTTCTTACATTTCTTCTCGTTACGAGGCTCTTTTCTCTGGTCTTGCTGATTCTAATGAACTTTTTATGGGGTGGCAGGCTTGTTTCATACATGCTGCTGTACTGAAAAGAATGTCCAGCTCATAACGAATATGGAATTTAAATCAGCCTCCGATCCTCGCGGCAGTCCCCGCGGTGCTTTTGATTTTTTTTTTTTAAATCCTCCCCTTGTCTGAGCTGACCCACCCCTGTTCATCTGGCCCCTCCCTGTCCGCTCTAGCCTCTAACCCCACCCTAATCATTCTGACCTTCTCACACGGCTGAACTCTCTGGTCTGGGGCGTGACATGCACTTACGAGAATACGATGCTGTTGGCATCTTGTTAACTGCGGTTTAATAGAGCCTGATTGCGCACAAGTACCGCCCATCAATACAGCGATACTAGTCGGCCCACCATGTGCCTGACAGCATAAATTACGTCCTGCGCTGGGTACTCCCAATCGATTCTCGGCACGGCCGCTTATGAAAATGCCCTCGGATGATTGACGCATTGATCAGGACGGAGCGGTGTGGGTCGAACGCCCGGGTCGCCAGTGAAGGTCGGTATTTCTCCCTGTCGTCAGCATTTTCCGTGGGGCTCACGGCTGTCCCGTTAGTTCAGTGGCGGACGGATGGCGACTAGCGTCGCTCAGATGGGCCGCTAGCATGGCGGGGCGCTCTGTGGAACCTCGTGCCGCCGGGTGATGCTGCTGAAAGGATGGTCATGGCGCCACGGCACGGGCTACGGCTGAGACCGGGCTGATCTGGTTTGGCGAGGGCGGGACGGGTGGTCTGGAATGCTCCGAAAGTCACACTCGGGTTATACGCGCTAGTCATTGACTTGTGCGTGGTCAGCGGTTGTGTGTGATCTATCTATGTGAAAAAGAATGCATTGTGTGCTGCGTGTATGTGCGCTGTTTACCATATATACCAACCCCGTCTAACGATTGTTGTTTGTTCCTCGCCGTCAGGTGGCCATCAAGAACAACATCGACGTGATGTACTTCGCGTGCCTGGTGCCGGCTCACGTCTTCTTCGGGGAGGACGGCATGATGGACAAGCGCGTCTTCCTGGCCACCTGGAAGGAGATCCCGGCGCAGAACGAGATGCAGTTCACCATCGCCAACCTGGCCATGACGGCAGGTGAGTGTCCCGGTCCGTGGTGGTGGAGAATTCAGAGGGTGACGTCCTGCAAGTGCAGAGCGCTCTCTGTTGGCCGTTTTGTTCCGACACAGATGCTGCTACTGTCGAGAGTGAAGTCGGCAACTGTTTGAGTGGCCCACTTACTGAGCGCCACAGCCACAAACCAACGGGAGGCTCCGCTAATGGTTATGCTATGCATAATGCCCGGCAAGCGTCGCGATGCTGGGTCTGGTAAATTTCATTGGTACAGGGACCCGCAGTTGCTACTGTACACATATATTACCAATTTAGAATTGCGCTATTATTTGCTAAGTGCTGGCCATTGGAGAAAGGAAATGTAGTGCAAAGTATGGACGAATAACACATGTTTGCTCCTAGGACGTATGTTTTGTATAATTCCTCTTACCGCAACAGATATTCTTCCAAAACTACAATCGTGCTATTTTTCCGCGCCGGTTGCCTCCCCAGAGCCCGTCCTTGGTATCGCCTATAGCTTCCGTTCCCGCTACGTGAATGAAAGTCACGTGACTACTACAGGTTTGCGCTCAGTACTAACACACCTAGCCCGAGGGCCGGTCCGTAGCGGGGAGGGGTAGAACGCCAGAGCTCCAGCGCAGTGGAGGTGGTGGTGGCCCGTATCATAAAGAGGCAACCGTAAGCAGAACTACAATTGCCGCAGTATAAGATTATGATCAAGTTTTCTTTAGATGTATTGATTGACAAGAAAGTGCAATGCTTATCCGATATAATAAAACGATGTCCAAGGCCTTGGAAGAACTATAAAACATATTCAGCAACGTATAAATTTCTGATACAGGCCATGACCTTTCACCTTGCCTCCGGGGAGGACCGCTCAGGAAGCCGCATACCGAACGAATCGAGGCCTCGCAGCGCAGCGGCAGAGGAGGTGGATAAACCATCGCCAGATCTTTCGGTTACTTATGTTTCCAGAAGAAGGAGGGGGTGGAGGGTGAGGGCTGTTTTCAACCCACTCACCAATCCTTTCCTTATTAACTTATAGCTTACCGAAAAATGCAACACAATGGTGGCCGTCACGAGATGTAGCGAAGAGTGCCTCAGCCACACCGGTTTTGAGTAAACTTGAAGCATTGGAATTCAGGCCAGTGATCCTGAAGCATTATTTTATTTTTGTCGTGCATAAGCTGGGATAACGTGGTTCAAGTTAATTGCGAAGAAACGGTTTTAGTTTCAGAACATTTATGAGGCTAGTCGCGCCAAATAGTATACGTTTGTTGCAAAATGTCAAATAGAATGTTGACGTGCTATCCAGATGATGGAATTTATTTGACACAAGAAGTCAAAAAGTGGCATCGTTAGTCATCCTGCATACCTATAAATCGATTCGTCGCCTTGGTTCGAGCTCAATAGTTCTTTTTGCGGATGATCGGTTTCGTTTTCTTTCTTTTTTTGGGGGGGGGACAGATTATGAGCCAGTAACCACCCTCCCCAGTCCCCCAAACAACAATTGTTGACAAATACTGTGATCAGACATGTGCATGGATCCGAGTGATGGATCTATGATCTCAGTGGATCTCGAAGCAAAGTACAGGCCCACCGGATCCCACCGGATCCGGCGTGAAAAATACATCTTGGATCTATGATCTCATATGATCTGACGATAAATTAAGAATATGGATCTATGATCTGAATGGATCCCACTATGCACCACATTTGAAACCATGTTTTAAAGGGTTTCTATGCCAATAAGTGACACAAAACTATGGATTATGACGTGTGATCACATAAAATCACTAAAACAGAACGTTTGTGAGTTGAAACAAGTGCTTTTTTGGGATATATGTGTTGATAAAAAATAAGTGAGGATCTGTGATCTCACTGGATCTGAAGCAAAAAAATGAGACTCGGATCTGTGATCCCTACGGATTTCTCGATAAATTACAGAGCTGGATCTATGATCCCGACGGATCCGAGATCAGGATCCGTGGGATCAGATCCCAGATCCATTTTCTCGGATCCATGCACATTGCACATGTCTGACTGTGATGGCCTAAAAATGCCCTCAATTGTGTTACGTAGGGAAGAATGAGGTAAGTTGAGCCGCTCGTTAGGCGGCACGGGCGGACATCGATAGCAGCGCCTCTATCGGTCACTAGGAAAAGCTGGGCTGTAGGCGGCGAAATACCGGCTGAGTTGTCTCACGTTGAATAGGTTTATAGCCATCCGTCTTGTGAAAAAGTTGAACTTTTGCCTTTAATATTTCTACAAGCAATTTTAGAAGTGTCTTCACATGGATTACAAAACCGTTTAGATTATTGTATTCACTTCAAGCTTTTCCTATTGTTCTTGATGATGCGGGAACTATTAATAATTAGTGTTTCTAGCTTAGTAAAAGAACATACTGTGCAAACGATGAAAAAAAGCATAAATGGAAGATTTTAGAGCAATTTTCTCTAACAATTAATGGTAAGTTATCCACATATCAAGGAAAAGGTGCATGCTAACTGATAATTTAAAGTTCTTGGGGCCAGTTGTTTTCTTCTTTTCTTACGTCGCCCCAATGGCCGCGAATACACTTGTGATACCGCCTATCATTTTTGTTTTTCGTAAGCTACAGGCTAACTTACTGATCATTTTTCTGCGTTTACGGGTTGGACGGACAGAGTGGCAATTTGCGCATGTAATGGTGGCCAGAAATGTTTCATACCGCTTATTTTTGTACTGAAAAGGCTACCTCAAAAATCATCTTGCACGTTGCTCATCTTACCCCATGGGCGGGGTAAGTTGAGACACGTCGTGGGGAAAGTTGAGCATGGATAGAAAAAGCGAACCTTTTCTTTTCCCGGGCGCGGCGAAGAGTGGGCTCTTTTATTTACTCCATGGCATAGATACTTATGGTAAAGTTTTTTTTTCCTCCATCAAAAAGTGGCTGTTTTAAGCCTTCCAATAGCTCGTCAAGTTTTCTATCACGGAAGAAATCATTTTATCCTTCAGCTAACCTGCAAATCACTTACAACTTGTGTAATCAACAAAGAAAAACAATTTTCTACCATTTTTATTCAGCAGAAACAAGCGCAGCTCAGTCTGGTTTTCGACAGCGGAGACAACAATGGCTTATCCGGCTCATCTTCCCCAGGTGAAAATGGCTCATCTTGCCCCACCCGTGGCCATTTTCGATTAATGACACCCGCTAAGGAAAATAACCACGCACCGCAGATAACAACCATCTCATTTTAAAGGCAAAACATGTCCTAGTTATCAGGGGCGATACCACATGTTACCGGGTGCTGAGCGTGAAAACGTTGCCGTCTCACGTGAAAGATTGCAGCATCGTAAGCGAACGGCACATGGAAGCTCAAGTCAATTAGCGCCATAGGAGCTGAGAAACATGGGGTGGCTAAACTTGCCCCTGGCTCATCTCAGACATGTGCATGGATCCCCGAGAAAATGGATCTGGGATCTGATCCCACGGATCCTGATCTCGGATCCGACGGGATCATAGATCCAGCTCTTTACTTTATCGAGAGATCCGTATGGATCACAGATCCGAGTCTCATTTTTTACTTGAGATCCAGTGAGATCATAGATCCTCACTTATCTTTTGTCAACACATATATCCCCAAAAAGCACTTGTTTCAACTCACAAACGTTCTGTTTTAGTGATGTTATGTGATCGCACGTCATAATCCATATTTTTGTGTCACTTATTGGCATAGAAACCCTTTAAAACATGGTTTCAAGTGTGGTGCCTGGTGGGATCCACTCAGATCATAGATCCATGTTCTTAATTTATCGTCAGATCATATGAGATCATAGATCCAAGATGTATTTTTTACGCCGGTTCCGGTGGGATCATATATCCCAACCTGTACTTTGCTTCGAGATCCACTGAGATCATAGATCCATCACTCGGATCAATGCACATGTCTGGATCTTACCTCACTCTCCCCTATTTGGGGCTGTCAACTTTGATTTGTTAAAGTTTTTGTGTGTTCATTATAAAAGCTGTCAAATTTGCCGTATCATTCAACTTTTATTGAGTTTGTATTTCACACTTATCTAAAATGAACAATTTTGTCACTGGCTCCTTTTATTAATGGGATTGGATGGTCGCATGAATGAACGAATGAATAGCTCCATTTGAGCATCAGCTGAAATCAATCCTAAAATTTAATCTACCAGTCTGCAACGAAAAGGTTTAAAAACCAGTGCAAGTTAGGTGCAGTTTCTAATCTATGCCGTTTTTTATTAAGTGTCTCATAGCTCCTTAATCTTGAGCCGCTTCTCTTACGATTCATTTTATGTGGTGCTTACATTGTTCAAGAAGTTATAGTATTCGAGCTCGTTGGTCTTAAAACTGCTATCGAAGTAAATTAAAGTGCTTCGGGCTTCGGCACTTAAAAACCAATCGATATTTAACCCTCACCCACTTAGGCACTTATTTTCAGCGTCTTACATGTAGCGGAGGGGCGTAGAAACCCTCAGCCATTCGGCCCTTGATAAAAATAGCCAGAGCTTCGTTGAAAAAAAAAAGAGCGAGCTGCTCGTGACGAGAGAAATCCGATGATTTGAGGGTCCTGGTCATCGCTGACGAGAGAAAGCCAATTATTTTTATGTCCTGGTCAATGCTGAGATCCTAGGTCACTGGTTGACCTCCCAGATCAGGTTAATAACCCAAAAGCACGGAAAATTGGGTCCTGCTAGAATTTCTACAAGTGAAGTTTGCTGGGACTTGGCTTGCTTCTGACTCCGACTTTGCACTTGCTTTGATCAAAGATGATGTATCATAGCATTTGGGGTAGGACGGGTCACGCCAGATCACCCATTAGGCGTTCTGCCGGCTATCCATAGAATGTTAACCAGCACTTACAGCCTTGCAACATATTGCATAGGCACTATAACCGATACCTAAGTATGCCTAGTTTTCAAATGCTAAAATGAGTGCTAAATTTCAAACCAACACTTCCTAAAAACCACAGTAAAAAGGTGCAAATTTAAGGAAGTTAACCGAGATCATTTCAAGTAAATGACCTTAACCTGAGTTTCACGTGACCTTAGCACCCACAACAATCAATGAGACAAACATTAGATAGTATATTTCACATGCAATGGTGTCACGTTGCTAATCACGAAACGACTATGGAAACACACAGAAGATGTGCGCTGACTTTCAATTGCTATTCTGGCCTGACATGATCTTGAGAAAAATAATCACAGGTTAAAGGTAATTTGGTTCAGGGATTTAAAATTTTCAGACAAGATGCAAAAATGATAAGGGCTATTTAATTTTCCGGGAAGTTGTAAAATTGATTAACTCCAGGGCACCAAAGAATCGTCGCAATCCTTCGCTTTGCCGCGATTTATTGGTGAAAAACAGGGGGCGCGGTCTACTTACCTCTACTTATATGTGTGGTGAGGGCTAATATTCATTTTATCTGTGTTGATGAATATGCAACAATTTCTACATGAACTGAGACCAGTCCATATGAGTATGTTTTTCTCACGGACAATGACAATATAAAAACAATGCGAATAAAACCAAACGTTTCGGACAACAACGTGCCTTCGTCAGTGGAGAAAAATAAGTGTATAGGTTTAACATCGATGAGAACTATATGCGGCACCGTCTCGGTCTGGCCAGCCGGGTTGTCGATAAAATACACAAATATTTATAAGCTTCCATGATGCGCTTAAAAAACTGCTGAAAATATATCTTTAAAAAAATAAAGATAACCACTTCATCGATTTTATCGAAAGAAAACATTTATGCCTAATTACTTATTTCTTGCCACTGACGGAGGCACTTTTTTGTGCGAAACGTCTGGTTTTATTCGTATTGTTATTGTATTGTCATTCCCTGTGAGAAAAAAGGATAACTCTTCAGTAAGTAACCATAACAGCGAAACAGCTTAATGTAACACAATTCACTGTGTATCCGAAACCTATAAGTCCCTAAAAATAATCCTATTTACAACTTCTAAAAAGATACAGCTTATACAGCTTAGGCATACAATTTTTCTGCATTAAGATAATATTCATTTATCTCCACAGAATATGGTAAATTAGTGCTGCTGAAGTTCGCTTTCGAAGCGTCTCCTCCAGGCATTCCACAGCTCTCGTGCCATTTTGGATCACGGAACATGGCTGGGCGCAGGACAGGCCGTCTGCGAGCTTGGACGGACCACGTGACCACCTCCTCCCCTCCCCCTCACTCCCGTCCCCTTCCCCAGCAGGGCGTCCGATCTAACCGCGCCCCAGGCAGTCGGCTCGGTCCGACCCTCCCTTGGTCGAGCCACGGCCCGGTGCCGCCTGAGTTTGTGCCGGGTGCAAAACTGGAGCAGTAACTAGCGCCGGAACTAGTAGTCAGCAAGACCATCGTCAGATGGCAGGAGTAAATGGAATAAGCGGTTCCAGGTTTCAGAAGGAATGGGGCAGGAAAAAGCGCTGAAAACAATGTTTTGCTGATATAGCCATAAAAAGTTCACTGAATTAGGAGAGCAGCACATCAGTTTAAAGCCCTTCAGATGGTGGTTTTAATAAGCACACAATCATTTCCCAATTCGCCTCCAACGGTGTCACAGGCCAAGAATACGCTGAAATACTAGTGAGTACAGAAGCAACTGCGGGTCCCTGTACATATTGAAGCCGCCCGGCTAAATGCCAGCGGTGAGCTGTGGTCTGTCTGTGCCGTGGTGGAGTGAGGTTTTCCCCATCGGAGTGTTATCACCCGCCGTCCGCTGTCTCAACGGACTGCGCTCCGCCTCTCTCTCTCTCTCTCTCTCTCTCTCTCTCTCTCTCTCTCTCTCTCTCTCTCTCTCTCTCTCTCTCTCTCTCTCTCTCTCTCTCTCTCTCTCTCTCTTTCTCTTTCTCTCTCCCCTCCCCCTCTCCCTGTCCCTCTCCCTACCTCCCCATCAGGATAGGAAATACGAGCCGTTGCCCGGTCGGCCCCACCGTCCTGCGGTACACAAACTGCTCCCACTAGCCGCAGACAAACACAAACACATCGGTGGCGGAATAGGAGTCCGTGGCCTGCTCTAAAAAAATCATGGCCCAGACGTCCAGTTGACAAAACAACATTTGGTTATGTCACGGCGGTGGTATTGTCATTTTGTGTGACAGAAATGTGGTATCTCCTATTTCCGCCACCGGCTTATCGAATATTACTGTATTTTTGTACATTTTTGATATTTTTGATTTGGTTTGAAATATTTGAAAATGCAATGGCTTTGTCATACTATTTCTTTTATTTACCAAAGCTGAACATTGTTGATAGTTGAATGTCCATCTGGTCAACTTGTATCATCGTCCTCTTTAGAGCCGTGTTGATGTTCCGGAGTGTCTCCAGTCCACCCGCCGTGGTCCGACCATAACATGCGACACCGTATCTACAGCGGGTTTGTCCATGTTGTGCCGCTCCCGGCGGCGCCCGGCTGCAACCACTGTCCAGACGAGCCGCAGAGCCCGCCGTCGTTCTATATTTGTCCGCGCTGAGCGACTGCGGTCGTCCGCCGGACTGCCAGTACGACACGCCAGAGCCGGTTTCAGGCGCCGCCGCCGAGTACGGCCGGTAATAAGAGTCAAGTCGAAAACTTGTCGGCGACGCCGTTTGATCAATGCTGGAGGGACGGCTCGGGCGGGCCGTAACTGACGGCTGGGACGGGCCGTAACTGACGGCTCGGCTGCGGCGGTCTGCCGGCTGACGTCACTGTCTGTTACGTCACTGTCTGTGACGTCCCCCCCCCGTCACCCGCAGACGCCATCTCGACCAAGCTGCAGAAGGAGAACGTGTTTACGATCGCCAAGCGGAACGTCGAGGGCCAGGACATGCTGTACCTCTCCATCAAGTTCATCAACGGCCTGTGGGCGCTGCTGGAGATCAAGGTGGCTCCTGGCTCGTCCAACATCACGGTGAGTTTTAATGAGCGCCTGGGGTGCTGGAGATAGCACCCAACGGGCTTATCACATTGTGCCAATCACATACCTGCTGACAATCACACTGTGTGCCATTAAAGATTATTGGATTATATGAATGTCAATTAACTGGGGATCGTGATTCTTAAATCTGTCTACTTTATGGCTGAATTCGTTTGAGCTTTGAATAAGATTGTTTAACATTCAGATCTAAGATGAAAGTCTCAGTTTTAAGATTATTAAGTAAATAATAATGCGAGTAGCCTGCTGTGTGGTGTTATGCTTACCACGATGAATGGGCTGGACTGCGGGTTCTGTAATAAGCCGCCGGCGCCCGCGACTGGCCGCGGTCTGCCTGTGCCGTTAATTTCTGGCCACGGCCGCTAACCGGCGCCGCCGTGTTACAGCTGGCCATCAAGTGCCGCACGTGCGAAATTGCTCCGGACATCAGCAACAGTGTTGAGGCCATTCTGCGCGCCTGAATGGCCCCCAAGACCCCGGCGCCGGCGCCGTGGCGGGCCGCGCCGCTACCCGGCCCTCCGGTGCTGCCGGCCGCGGCGCGGTCCGGGCCTCCGGTGCTGACATCGTGTCGTAATTTGTTGGTCGCGTTTATGTTATCTCCTCTGTGAGTATGTGAAGACGAAGAGAACATTCCTGCGTTAGCCCCCTTTGGTGAAAGCGCTGCAGAAAACGGAACTGAAATCTGAACCGCTCTCTCGAAAGAGGCTAGGCTGAGTGTTAGAGTTATTTATCATGCAGGGCGTCGCTGGTAGCCAACCGATTATATTGTTTAACGCGAACATATGTGAACGTTACACAGTGAGCGAGCTCATTTATAGGCGGAATGGTGGCTTGAATTTGCTTTATACATTAGAATGAGCTGGCCAAGTTCGGTGGTGTATTCTGTAACCCGCACGGCGTCCGTATCTGTCCAGATGGACTCTGTATTCTCTGTCACCCTGTATACGCGCAGAGGACGCCGGTGCGGGCGGCCCGTCCGCCGTTTGGTGATATTCGTGTGTCCGAGCTGCCGCTTGTGATCCATGTAGTCAAAGGGCCACCGTCTGCGGGAGCCTAACTGGTCGTTGCTGTTCCAGCCCGACGTTCTTTGATCACCAACCACTGCTGATGTGTCCTGCATGGATGATTGCACGCAAAAGCCGCCGAGCCGGCGCCGCCGTCCCGAAGCGGCTGCCACTGGTGCGGCGGTCGGGCGGGCCGCCCGTTCCGGCCGGTCTCTGCGCGATTTCTCGGCCGTCAATGTCCAATAGACCGGAGCAGAGCTGCGGTGCGTTTGTGAGTGACGGAGCGAACCGACGCGGCGGAGAGCTGGGCTCGGCTAGCAGTATTGACGGACTGGGCCCGGGCCGACCGGCCGTCTGCGTTTGGGCGGCACGTGCCCGGCATCGCCGCCGTCGGTGACGAGGTAACTGTCTGAGACGGGGGCGGACGACGGCCGGCGATGGCCCCGACGGTCGCCCGGCCGCTCTTATGGCCATGGCCGGCCGCCGAAACTGCCCGGACGGCGGTCCATCGGGCTCCAGGGGCTCTCCAATGCACGTGCTACGTTACAGGAGTCTGCTGAGGGCGCAGATGGAGCCTCGTCGATCGCCGCCGGGCGCCCGCCGAGCCGCGCACGCTCGACAGAGGGCGGTTGAACGCCGCCCGCCTGACAAGTTAAGTGCCGTGAGCGTGGCGAATCTGCGCCGGTAAAAGTTTGATTAGCCGGCTATTTGTAGGAGGGATTTGATTGGTGGTCTGCCGTGCCGCAGGCCGTGCATTATGAACATGTCGCCGGCGAAATGCACGGCTCCCACCGGGAATAGCCTCAAACTTTGTGCGACGCGTCGGTACCGAATCCACTAGACATGAGCGGCGAAATGTCACCGTGGGCTCTTTGTCGGCTACACGATTCACAGCCGGCTTTATCTCAGGAGATAGTCGAACTCTTTGTCTCACGCCATTGAGAACGCGGACGGGACGGCAGCAGCTGACAATCCCCGGCCGTCTCGCCAGCTGTGCTGATACCGTCCGATCGGCCGGTAGATAATGCGATTCGGGCTCGCCGTCAGTTTAACTCAATTGTAGCTTTTGCCAGCGGGCGATTATATTGTTTAACGCGAACATATGTGAACGTTACACAGTGAGCGAGCTCATTTATAGGCGGAATGGTGGCTTGAATTTGCTTTATACATTAGAATGAGCTGGCCAAGTTCGGTGGTGTATTCTGTAACCCGCACGGCGTCCGTATCTGTCCAGATGGACTCTGTATTCTCTGTCACCCTGTATACGCGCAGAGGACGCCGGTGCGGGCGGCCCGTCCGCCGTTTGGTGATATTCGTGTGTCCGAGCTGCCGCTTGTGATCCATGTAGTCAAAGGGCCACCGTCTGCGGGAGCCTAACTGGTCGTTGCTGTTCCAGCCCGACGTTCTTTGATCACCAACCACTGCTGATGTGTCCTGCATGGATGATTGCACGCAAAAGCCGCCGAGCCGGCGCCGCCGTCCCGAAGCGGCTGCCACTGGTGCGGCGGTCGGGCGGGCCGCCCGTTCCGGCCGGTCTCTGCGCGATTTCTCGGCCGTCAATGTCCAATAGACCGGAGCAGAGCTGCGGTGCGTTTGTGAGTGACGGAGCGAACCGACGCGGCGGAGAGCTGGGCTCGGCTAGCAGTATTGACGGACTGGGCCCGGGCCGACCGGCCGTCTGCGTTTGGGCGGCACGTGCCCGGCATCGCCGCCGTCGGTGACGAGGTAACTGTCTGAGACGGGGGCGGACGACGGCCGGCGATGGCCCCGACGGTCGCCCGGCCGCTCTTATGGCCATGGCCGGCCGCCGAAACTGCCCGGACGGCGGTCCATCGGGCTCCAGGGGCTCTCCAATGCACGTGCTACGTTACAGGAGTCTGCTGAGGGCGCAGATGGAGCCTCGTCGATCGCCGCCGGGCGCCCGCCGAGCCGCGCACGCTCGACAGAGGGCGGTTGAACGCCGCCCGCCTGACAAGTTAAGTGCCGTGAGCGTGGCGAATCTGCGCCGGTAAAAGTTTGATTAGCCGGCTATTTGTAGGAGGGATTTGATTGGTGGTCTGCCGTGCCGCAGGCCGTGCATTATGAACATGTCGCCGGCGAAATGCACGGCTCCCACCGGGAATAGCCTCAAACTTTGTGCGACGCGTCGGTACCGAATCCACTAGACATGAGCGGCGAAATGTCACCGTGGGCTCTTTGTCGGCTACACGATTCACAGCCGGCTTTATCTCAGGAGATAGTCGAACTCTTTGTCTCACGCCATTGAGAACGCGGACGGGACGGCAGCAGCTGACAATCCCCGGCCGTCTCGCCAGCTGTGCTGATACCGTCCGATCGGCCGGTAGATAATGCGATTCGGGCTCGCCGTCAGTTTAACTCAATTGTAGCTTTTGCCAGCGAGGCAATTGGAGCTGACTGGTCGAGCGGCGTGTTCGGGTCCGACTTTGTCCCATGTCGACAGCTGGGGACACGGTTTCTGCGTGGTGGGCTGCCTCAGAATTCGGTCCGATGCTAATGACATTCAGCGCTGACAGGACACCCACAGACTGGCACCAGAGCTCAATGAAAGTCGGAATTAAAATATCGGCTTCCGGGAGCGGATATGGGTAATTACCTTGACATCGATTTTATGCTGACTGAAGCAGAAACTGCCGAAACGAGAGGAATCCCGATCAGCTCGCAAATGGCTAGATAGCTGCCAAATGGGAATTTAATCCTCAATAGTTAGATGACTTATGGGGTGGTGCAGTTAAGCGTTCATTCGTCTGTAAAAGCTGGCTCGCGGGAGCGCATTGGCGGGCCGGACGGGCACCGAGCGGCTGAGACAGGCGGTGAGTGGTAGACTAACCCGCAGCACAGCTGAGTGTTGCGGCGCAGTATAACCTCCCAGGTTCGACGGGCCGGCCGTTCAGAGAGGGGAGCATTCATTTTGGCCTGGGTTCATGTCCAGGGTACGTTATGCCCAGTGTCGAAATGGCCAGTGCCTTAAATGGGCCAGATTTCATAATGTCCAGGGATTGCATGGTCCAAATGCGGCCAACTGGCTGCAGATAGGGTATATTCAAAGAGGCCAGGGTTCATAATGTCCAGGTCACGATGTGTCAAGTGTTCGAAATGGCCAGGGTTCATAATGTCCAGGGCACGATGTGTCCAGTGTTCAAAATGGCCAGAGTTCATAATGTCCAGGGCACGATGTGTCCAGTGTTCAAAATGACCAGTGCCTTGAATGGGCCAGAGTTCATAGTGTCCAGGGATTACATAGTCACTGAAAGTGACGCCATTATGTAAAAAAACACGGAACCAGCTCAGTGCGAAGCAGTGCAGTGCCGAAGGCAATGCCTTAGGAGAGATTACAGGCAATAGTAAATCAAATATTTTTAGGTTAAGTGGTTATGCATCAGGCTTCAGGCTGTCCAGTGTTCAAAATGACCAGTGCCTTGAATGGGCCAGAGTTCATAGTGTCCAGGGATTACATAGTCACTGAAAGTGACGCCATTATGTAAAAAAAACACGGAACCAGCTCAATGCGAAGCAGTGCAGTGCCGAAGGCAATGCCTTAGGAGAGATTACAGGCAATAGTAAATCAAATATTTTTAGGTTAAGTGGTTATGTATCTGGCTTCAGGCCGAAGGCCTGAAGCCTGATGCATAACCACTTAACCTAAAAATATTTGATTTACTATTGCTTGCAATCTATTCATGCGAGAAACTATTCCCTTATCCCCGGTAGGCAAACACCATTAGGGGAAAGTGGGGTAAGACGGTCAGGGTAGGTAAGACGGGCACCCCTTCTGCAGACCAAACCAATAGCGCTACGAGCAAGAAAAGTTAGGACCAGAATTGCCTTTCCCACTACACACCACCATTCAAGTCTGGTGAATTTGTGTTCAGTCGATAATCTTTTATTTTGATTTCTTTAAAACACTCATTTCATTGAAAACATCCATAATGTATTGTGCAAGCTTTTGTGTACAGCACTATAGAGTTAAAAACTCGCAATCACTTGTGGTACACTCATATGCCAACAGTGTTCATTTACGGCGGATTTGCTTTGTCTGCATCAAATTGTCCACAGCGAAAAATCGTGCTGAACTTCTGACATTGAGTTTGGGGTAAGACGGGCAACTATGAACCCAATGGGTCTGTAATGGTGAAAATATTTTTGTTGCTGTAGGAAAAAAGAAGCATTTCTAATAAGAATATGTTCGATTCCGATACTCACAGACATGTTAGCAATATTCCTTCGGCACAGTTTATTCTCGAATAATGAATGTGAAAAACGGTTCTACATGGCTTCTGAACTAGGGCCTATATAGGAGCATACGCCTTCTGCACGAATCTCGTATACTGCCATTTCCGAAGCACTTGAGACCAACGAGCGACTGTATAAATGCGGCTAATCTCGGGCATTTGTTGCGAGCTGCGCTGATCGGTGAAAGAAGCTGGCCGTCTTGCCCTACCCATGTGACCGTCTTACCCCATGGGGTGGGGTAAGACGGGTTTTTGCAAGGTTTTGCAAAAATAGCTGCAGTTTATTTGTTGAATCAGGTCTAAGTCTCATCTTCTGGCAAATGAAAGTAAAATGTCTGAAAAAGGTTTTCACCCAGTTTCCCGTTTCTATGATGTTTCTAACCGGCCGAAAAATGGCTCCAAAGTTAAGGTGCCCGTCTTACCCCACTTTCCCCTACCTTAGGTTAGGTTAGGTTAGGTTAGGTTAGGTTAGGTTAGGTTAGGTTATTTTAGGTTAGGTTAGGTTAGGTTAGGTTTGGTTGGGTTGGGTGGACTATGTAATCCCTGGACACTATGAACTCTGGCCCATTCAAGGCACTGGCCATTTTGAACACTGGACATATCGTGCCCTGGACATTATGAACCCTGGCCATTTCGAACACTGGACACATCGTGCCCTGGACATTGTGAACCCTGGCCATTTCGAGCACTGGACACATCGTGCCCTGGACATTATGAGCCCTGGCCTCTTTGAATTTACCCTATCTGCAGCCAGTTGGCCACATTTGGACCATGTAATCCCTGGACAATATGAACACTGGCCAATTCAAGGCACTGGCCATTTCGAGCACTGGACACACCATGCCCTGGACATTATGAACCCTGGCCTAAATAATACGCACCCCGTGCAGCCACTTACAGCATTGAACTTGGAAGCCTTGCCTTCCCAGAACAAACCAAAAGAGCAAGGCAAACGAACCCAGTCACCTCGAGACCTCTTGGACCAAAGAATGAATTAGCTGTCCTGCTAGGTAAATGTGATTTTAGATGTACTACCTATATGTGGATAAATTAGGAGGCCTCAAGCGTTGTGGGCGGCACCTCGCGTCGGTCGGGTTCTCTGAACGATTTATCCACATATAGGTAGTACATCTAAAATCACATTTACCTAGCAGGACAGCTAATTCATTCTTTGGTCCAAGAGGTCTCGAGGTGACTGGGTTCGTTTGCCTTGCTCTTTTGGTTTGTTCTGGGAAGGCAAGGCTTCCAATTTCAATGCTGTAAGTGGCTGCACGAGCTCTTCATGTGAGTATAATAAGACCATTAAACGCATCAAGAAGTACAGTTGGCAGTGTTGCAGCTGTAAAGATATTGGAGACTCTACCGTCTCCCTAATAACATTATGTGATGCTTGGGTCCCGTATAACGTCGAACCGTGGAACTCTATGTGACGGGACTCTCGGGACGTGACGATTGACTGATCAATCAATATCGGCTCAGCCACGCCCAACTCACCCCTGCTGTGTCTGCGTCATATGAATTTTAACATGTTTTGACCTCTCTTTTCGTCCGAGCTATTTTTGAAACCACGCTGCGTGTTATTTGTAGACGCGATCCGAATTGTCAATGGCGATGCGTCAGTCACTGTTCGCTTTGGCTGCTGACAGTTTCAATTTGCCGTCGATACGGTAGGTAATCGAACGCAATAACATTTAATGGAAGGCATGGAATTTTCGGGGAACATGATGAAAAGATGGGTTTATTTCGGTTGTTGGGGATAATCTGTTCATAGGCATAGAAGCAAACGACCGATCATTTATCATGCAATTTGAAGTGAACAGGCCGCTCTGCTGCCGCCGAGGCTCTCCGTGCCATAGCTGTCGGTTCAGTGGACGGAAGTTCTTCATTCGGCCGGTCCACCCTGATGGCACGCGCTCGGCCAAATGTCACGGGCTCCCACACGGCTATACGTTCGCCCACCAGGCCTTATTGGATGATCCGGGGACATGCAGTTCCGCGTATGTCGGCCCTCCACACGTGTGATGAGGTGTCGCTTCCGCGGTGCGCCCCACTCCCCCGGATGTGAGCCGCGGTCAGGGTCGTTATGGCACTTTCGTCGCGGACATCGTACGATACGCCACTGACGTAATGCCGTCAGCCGAGCCCGACCCGATGGGAATGACTCGTATACGACCAGCACTGGCCGTGGCGCGTGCTGCCATTTTCTGTCACCCAGCAATTACCGGGTGCCGTCCAACACACTCAGGACGCGAGCTCGCTGGATCACGAGCGATTGACGGTCATTGTGATATCGCACGGACGAGGGAAATGCAGTCCGTCAGCGTAATCCTTGTT